ACAAATTTGTCTTTGTCTTTCTTCTGTAAGACATGCCTGGCATAAGTTGTGTCTGAAATATAATTCCTGATTTCTGCTGCTGCTGGCAGTTTAAATTATTAAGAGGAATTTTAAAGTTCTTTTTAGGTTTCTTACTTTTACGTTAGAGTTTTCCTTTCTGCATTTCATTTGGTTTTGCTAGTCTTATTGGAGTCATTTTTTCTTTCTCTTTATTAAAATGAACTCTACCCTGTCTGCCTTTGATGAAATTCTAAATCCAAAGGAAAGAAAAAACATACAGGTAGTAAATACTCTGAAACATTTATCTATGCGTATACTTCAGACAAAGTGAATCAGCATCCTCACATTGTCAGGAAGGGCCCTTTAAGCTTGAAACGAGAACAGATTCTTTCAAACTTTCCCAGAGAATAGCAGTGACCTTGCAGATCAGATAACCCATGGTCTACAAGAGTTCAAATATGTCATCAGGACTTTATTTTACTGCTCAATGTTCCTTGGCCTACTTGTTCAAATTGGGCTAATTCCAACCCCCCCTCCAAACCCCACCCCCCCCCCCCCCCCCTCCAAAAAAAAACCCTACAGGAGCTCACAATGCCAGCCGAGAAGGGCTGGGTGCATGCAGGAGCAAGGATAATTGAGGCCGTGTGTCAAAAGCTGGACTGTTGATGAGTGACTACAATCTGATGGATACAACATATTAAACCTAATGAAGATACTTGTTTCCCTTTATTCATTCTCTAGCAGGCTGCACCTCATGAAATCCAACATGGACTTCATGTTTCTACAGACATTAACTCCAGCGCTTCTCCGCTGACTCTGAGACTTCTTAACCGAGACTTCTCCTTCTGTTTTTATAAGAAGATAAATACTTCTTCATCTTGCTGGGGAAGCAACCAGCGTTGCTTCCAATTTGTTGTTGTACCCATAGCATTTGTCTCATGCAGCATGAGCCATCGCAGGGAAGAAAACCAGGAGAGGACCAATTCCTTCCAGCAACACCAACTCTCTAGATGAGTTTAGCCTTGACTTCAAACTGTACCCATAGGCTCCAGCTCAGCAACATGTATTTTATTTTTGAGCACATGAGTAGTTCTGGCCTACTTATATGTTTTGCATGTGTTTCAATCTTTTATTGAATGAGCTTCTAAATCATTTGAAATCCAGCCCCATTTCCATCACTGAAAACCATTGTATTACATCACTGGATTGCTCCAGAAGTAGGAAAAAATATTCTTGGTATTTCTTGAGACAGTTTTCCCGTTGTTATGCTGCTGTTTTGCTGGGATTCAGCTTGAGTAAACGGTTCCAGCCCCAGTCTGAATTCAAAGCCAAAGCTGGGATTTGATGAAATGCTTGGGTGCTGGACTAAACATACTGTAACTATATACGGATTTTGGAGAGGAGAGATAAGGTGAGGGCTTCCGAACAAAAATGTAGCCATTCCCCTTTTCCAGATCCTCCCCTTCCCATTGCAGTATTCTGGGAAATTGCCTGTGTGTTTCAAGGCCTGCTGCAATCAGCATTCGTGTTATGGCACAAGGCACACTGCAGAAGCTTGTGCATGGCTAACTCAGTATTTCAGGTTGGAACTACGTATTTTTTTCGTGTTTGTTTCCCTTCGAGAGTCTGAAGTCTTGCTTTTGAATGTCCTACCACTTCCCAGAGACAATATGTCAGAGGACCCCGACCTCCCTGCATCCATCCATGCGTTTTCATAGCCCAATGTGACTTTCACTAGAGGATCCCAGGGTTATAGCCTCTCAGATTTCAGCAGTGTGCCTGTTATCATCGGGTGGATGGAGGCAAGATGTGCTGGCAGAGCCTCAGCCTTTCCTGAGAGACTGGGGACCCTACAGCACAGAGAACAGCAGACTGCTAAGCAGTTCTTCGTAGGCCAAGACAATGCTAGTACCACAGAGAACCTTATTCTTTGGAAACAAAGCATCTCTGATTTAGTTATCAAAACAGGCATTCATGTTTTATTCAGTTTTTTTGCTTTAATCCATCTGAAATGTAATACCTGTTAACAAAGATGTTAACACATCTTTGCCTATTCTTTTCCCCCCAAGAAGCTCCCACAGTTCAAGGTTGTAAGTCTGAGCAATTTAGTAAGTGATGTAAATACAAATGAAAATTAGCCAACAAAAGAAATTCAATTGAGTTAAATAGGAGGCTATTATCATACCTCACATTCCCTGCTGCCCTAGCACAGGTAAGAACCAACCGCAGGGGATTGAACAGCTATCTATCTGCTCACACAGCGCACTCTCCCAGGCTATAAAGGGTACACAAAGATGGAACTCTAAAATGATGCATCTCCACAGAGCTACGCTATTCTGTGCCCATTTTTAATCAAACTGAGCTGCACTGTGAACAGAGAAAAACACAGCAGCTACCACGAGCAGATCAAATTGATCACACGCATTTCTCAAGTCTCCACTAGGACTGTAATCTCATCTTTCAGGGTTTTTGGTTCTTCACTTTCTTTGCTGGTTTATGACATTCGGAGGCCAGGTTCCCCCGGCCTTGTCACTGCGCTGTTATTTGGATTCCTCACCCATTTAGCGTGGCTGCTGCACATTCCTAAGACCAGCACCTCAGATCCGCTCCACGCTCGTTTGGCACCCACAGATAAGCGTGCATGCATACATAGAAGGCAAAAAGCAGCAGAAAAAGAAACAGTTTATTCGATTGTAGTCATTAATGCTATACATGACAGGCTCAATCCTGCTCCCTTTGATGTCGATGGCAATACCTGCATCGAATTCATGTGCTCTTGAAAAAAAAAAAAAAAAAAAGCCTGAGTTTTGCAAATTTATCGTTTTGTCATCTACGCTTGAAGTCAGAACGAAAACGCGGCGTTTTCGCCTTGGTTCTGAGCCAGATGATGCACACCAGACCTTCCCACAGCGCTACGCCCGTTGCTCCCCAAGGAGGAGCTCGCACGGAGCCCAACAGACGTGAGCCCACCGCCGTGCGTCCCTCCGGCCCTCGTGTCACTCCGCCACTCCCGTTCGGCAGCCGAGCTTCCCGAAGCGGGTCTGCTGGCGTCAGCGGGGAGGGCTGGGCCGCACCGGCAGGTCGCGGGGTGCCGGCGGGCCGCGGATGCCGAAGGCCGCTCCCCGCGCCCAAGCCGAGCGCGCGGCTCCACGCGGGCGCACAGCGACGCCCGGAGCCGAGACGCAGGGCCTGGTGCAGAGCCCGCAGCCGTCTGCTCTTCTGGGGCCGCTCCCGGCACGCGGCTCCCGGCCGGAGGAGCGGCCGCCCGCCACGCCATGCCACCGAGCCGCCTCGTGACACGCGGCCGTGCCGTGCGCGACCACGCGGCCCGGCGGCACGCGAGGAATGCGCGCTCCCGCGGCGGGGCCGGGCCCCGCTTCCCTTTGTCAGCGGGGGCGGCGAGCGCGGTCCGGGTGACGTCATGAGAAAGTGCCGGCTCCGAGCGGCGGTCCCGGCCGCGGGCGCCGCGGGGCGGACGGGCAGGAAGCGGATCGCGGACCCTCAGCGGCGGGGCGCGGCGCGGCTCTGCGCGGAGCCGCGACCGTTAGGACCGTCGTGGGCCGCTGGCCGCCTGCGGCTCCGTCCGCGCACCGCCGCACTAGGGCGGCGGGCAGGTAGCGGCGGGGCGGGCCCGGCCCGGGCAGATGCGCGGCGGGGGCGGAGCCGAGCCGTCGGCCGCCCGGAGAGGGGATCGGAGCCCCGCGGCGCTCGCCCTTTCGACCAGTCCCCTTTGTGTCGGCGGGACCGGGCGGCGAGATCTGCCCGGCCCGCCCGGTAACAGCCCGGCGCCGCCATTGGCTCATGCTAATGGGCGCTTCCTGCGGCCGCGCCGCCCCGAGCCGGGGGCTCCCCCGGCCCCCGCGCCAGCGCCGCTCCCCGCCGGCGGCACCGCCCGCCCCGAGCCCGGCGCCCCGCTGGGCGCCGCGGGAACCTGGAGCGGGAGGGGGCGGGCGGCGCTGAAGCGGCCCGACTGAGCGCATGTGGGGAGAGCCGCTGCCCGGGCCGGACGGAGCGGGGCGACCCGCGTCCTCGCTTGGTTCCGAGCGGCGCGGGGCTGCGGGAACGCTCGTTCGGCGGCTTCCCCGCGGGTGCGCGGCAGGCAGGCCGAGCTCCGCTTTATAAACGTCACCGCTCCCCGGCCCACGTGGGCTGTGAAAGCGGGAGCACGTGTCCCGCGTGCGGCCAGACGGAAGGGTGCGGGGCGCCTTCGCGCCCTGACGCCCTGCGGCCCGGCCCCGCCGCATGCAGCCCTCAGCGCCGATGGCGGCCCTCGGCCGGGGCGAGACGGAGGCCAGCGGTCAGCACGGCGCTGCCGGGGCGTGCGGGCAGCGGCCGGGCGACGTGGGCATGCAGCTGCACACCGGCGTGCCCCACGGCTCTGCCGCACGGATCCTGCGTGGCCCTGCGGCGTGCCCTCGACGGCCACGAGGCCGTCCATAAAAGCCTGGGCCCCAACTGGGCTTATGGCTCGGGCCTTCCGGGCCGCACCTCCTGCCGGCCTTCGCTGCGGCAGTCTCCCGCGGGCCCCAGGCTTCGTCCCTGCCCGGAGATGCTCAGAGGAAGCTTTCCGTTGGGGACGGAGCGGGGCGCTTCCAGGTAGGCGCAGCCCCACGCGGACGGGCCGGCACCCACGTGGGCCTGTCGTGGGCCCGGCCACCATTTTGTGCTCGGCGGAGCTGTGTCTGCTGGCGGCTCTGCACACGGGGCGCTGAGTGCGGGCTGCTCCCGTTCGCTGCCCCGCGCCCCTTGGAGGGAGAGGTGCCGGGAAAGGAAGGAGAAGCAGAACGGGGGAGACCCCGACGCCTTTACGGTCGCGGCCTGCAGCGAAGTCGGCGGGGCTGGAAAAAAGAAAAAAAATAGGAAGGAGGAAATGGGAGAGCGCTGTCCCCTGGGGATCCGCTCCGAGGCCTCGTGCCCGGCTCGGAGCGCGGCCCGCAGGTAGAGCCGGGCACAGCGCGTGGTGCCGTGCTCCCCTCCCCGCGCCCCCCGTAAAACAAGGCCGAGCGCTCCCCTGCGCCTACAGCCCGTGCCTGTGTGTGGCCCGGCCCCATTCATCGCTCGGCTCCCACCGCACGACTCTCTCCATTTTTAAAATTATGCACGAAGCACCGAGGAGACAATTTGGGTTTCCCCCACCTCTCCCCTGCCCTTGAAGAAAGCGAGCCTCGTCTCATTTGCATCTGCATGAAACCCCTGCGCTCTATAAGCCGAGCAAAGGGGAAGGACTTGAAGCCTATGGGATGGCTTTAGGGCTCTGCCCCTCGCTTTTGGCTCTCTCTCTCTCTCTTTCTCATTCTCTCTCGTGCTTTGATCTCTGCTTAACAACAGTAACGTCACAGGGACTATACAGGAGAGTTTTGTTGGAAGTTAGAAAGTTTTTCAGCCTCCAGAGGGCTGTAGCGGCAGTAGCAGCAGCAGCATCCAAGGGACTCCTGGAAGGGGAAGAGAGAGAGCGAGCGAGAGACTGACTCAGTCCTTGAGGAACTGACTCGAGACGAAGGAGGCAGACATGGAACATCAGCTGCTGTGCTGCGAGGTGGAGACCATCCGACGAGCCTACCTGGACGCCAACCTGCTTAATGACAGGGTGCTGCAGACCATGCTGAAGGCGGAGGAGACCTGCTCGCCCTCGGTGTCCTACTTCAAGTGCGTGCAGAAGGAAATCTTGCCATATATGAGGAAAATAGTCGCCACTTGGATGCTGGAGGTGTGTATGTCGCGGGGCTCCCTCCGCGCCGGCTCTGCCCTCGCCCCCCCTCCCGCACGGGGCTCTACTGCGGCACGCGGTGCGGCGGCCGCGGGACAGCGCGGACGGACGGACGGACGGCGCGGCGGCCCCACGCCCGGCGGCGGCACCTCCGGCGGCTGCGGGCGGCGCGGAGCCGGGGTACGGCAGTGCCACCCGTCGGGCCGCCGTCCCCGAGCCAGGTGCGCCGGGCACGGCCGGACCGCCGCCGCCCCGCCGCCGCCCGCCCCGGGCCCCGCAGCCCCCGGGCGCGGGGCCGTCGGGAGAGGCTGCCGGTTATTTTTCGGGGATTTTATTTTAAATTA